TTCACTAATTCTCCCTCCCCTCTCTCCCGCCAGGTGGAGCTGCCCCTACTCTACGTGGTGGTCTCCCCAAAAGGTCTCGACCTCCGGGAACACAAACGGAACAAGGTGGAGAGCGCGGCACCACTCGGCCTCATGCCCATAGACTTCATCTCTTACGGCGTCCAGGACATCAAGTTCTGGCGCGTCTTCACCTGCATCGTGGTGCGCGAGCTGTCAGCGCGCACGCGCGCCGCCACGTGCCACGCCTTCCTCTGTGACTCCGCCCACAATGGGCGTAAGATGGCGCTGGCGCTAGGAGCGGCTTTTAACCTGTACTCCAAGAAACTCAAGTCTGCGGGGAAGGTGCACAACTTTCAGATCGAGTTACGGCCCCCTGATGAGCTAGCGGACGCTGTGGACGCCGAGTGTGACGCTTGATTATGATTAATGTAGGGTGCGCACAAGCAGGTTTTGTGTGTGGGGGTGAGCTGGAGATAGGACAGTGACGTGTTGACTTTAGGTGTGGAACACACACACAAGTTTTGTGTGTGGGGGGAGCTGGAGATAGGACAATGACGTGTTGGCTTTAGGCTGAAAATATACTGCCACGCACAACCGAAGCGCGCCGCGTAAAAAGTTGCGGCCTCCTCTGTATTTCCTATCGGAGATTTCACTGACACGACTAGGCCTAGACGTGAGGAGTCGTGAGGACCCAAAAAGACGTGCGTGAGTGCGTGCAGCACTTCTTTTTCACGTGCGGACCGGCTCGCCCTGCTATCGGAGTATTCCGGGACGCCGTGGAGATAAAAACAAAAACAAAAAAAAAAGGGGGGGGGGGGGAGGGGGAGGGGGGGTGACCACTGAGTTGTATACGCCTGGTGAAAATGGTGAAATGGTATAGGTTTAACGCCCCTATCAACACTATTAGGTTATTTAAGGGGCGGGACCTCCTAGTTTAACGTCCGTCTCCGATAGCACCGAGCCAAGTGGGAAGTTCGTGTAAAGTGCCTTTCCCAAGGACACAACGTCGGACGGAGCTGAGGCTCGAACCCCCGAACTCGCAATCTCACGATTACGAGTCCGGTAGCCTAACCACTAGGCTACCGACGCCACGTATACGCCTGGTCAGCACCATTTTGTTTACACAGTCGGACGGAGTCGAGTTGACCTATGGGGTCACCACTTCCGACCTAGCTGCTCGTCCGTTTCGCGGCGCACTTCAGTTGTGCGTGGCAGTAGATTTTCAGCCTTATGTGTGGAGCACACGCGCGGGTTTGTGTGTGAAGTCTGCTGGAGATAGGAGGACAATGACGTATTCGCTTAAGGTGTGGAAGACACGCGCAAGAATTGTGAGGGGTGAGCAAATGATAGGACAATGACGTCGTTCCCTTTAGGTGTGGAACACACGCATAAGAATTGTGAGGGGTGAGCAAATGATAGGACAATGACGTCGTTCCCTTTAGGTGTGGAACACACGCATAAGAATTGTGAGGGGTGAGCAAATTATAGGACAATGATGTGTTTGCTTTAGGTGTGGAACACACGCATA